GTATGCAACTTGTTATAAATACCTCAGGCTAACGTAATTGTGCTTGACTTGGCTTCATATTTGAGCAACAACCGCAATTTCCCCAGGCACATACAACAAGGCTGTCGATGCCGAGTGGGCGAGAGAGAGAGAGAGAGTGAGTGTGTAAAAGAGAGAGAGAGACAGACAAACTGCACTTTATTATTATATTCAAAAACAATAAAGTTTTGTGTCGTATGCAGCAGACGCAACGTGTCGTTAGGCGGCAGACAATGCAATTATATTGGATGTGCTTTTAGAAGTATCTGTAAGACACAAATGAACGTCAGCGGCATGACGACAATAATGAGTGCCTCGACTCGAGCTGAGTTGAGGCGACAGCCGCAGACAATAGACAGGCCCAGACAAAGTTGCCTCTACTTCGGCATTATGATACACAGTTGCAGCCAGGAGCCAAATACAATGCAAATGCGAATGCGAATGCGAATGCGAATGCAAATGCAGTCATGTTTTCGCAGAACTTTGGACGCCATGGGCCAAGCGGGAAGTTCGCTGAATGCGGCTAATTGAAAATGCCGAACTGTGCAACATGTCCAACTCAACTCGATAACTTGATAACAGCAGCCACAGACAAGTTTGCGCCGTTAATTGAAGTGGCAGAGGCAGATAGGCTAAACAACAAGTGCAAGTCTTAAACAAGCGTAATATCAATTTATTTACAACTTACGTTACATATTCGCCCCCCGCCAACTACGTGACTAAGATTTACCACTAAAAAATATCGCTTGAGCTGCAAACTTCTTCAGAAATCCTTATCCCAGCCGCTCAGCTCTTCGGGCGGCTCGTAGTCCGTCTCCACGCCCAGCGGCATAAAGTATTGCAGGTCGGTCAGACTCCTCAGCACGCGCTTGATGGGCGAGGGCAACTGCTTCTGCTTGAGCTTATTCCAGTCCAAGCTATCGAACCAGCTGTGCCGCTTGATATCCGCAATGCCCTTGCGCTGATAGCCCAGTCGCTCCGCGGGCAGCTGCTTGCACAGGTGCCGTATCAGGTTCTGGGCGGACTTGGGTATGCGCGAGGGCATGTGGATGACATCGATGCCGCTGAGGATGTTCTGATAGATCTTCACCTGATTGACCCCTCGGAACGGTGTCTTGCCCACCAGCAGCTCATAGACGAGTATTCCCAGTGCCCAGTAGTCCACGGATCGATCGTGACCACGGTCCAATATTATCTCTGGCGCCACATACTCGGGCGTGCCGGCAAACGTGTTTGTCTTCTCGTTGGGGCGCACATACTTGGCAAAGCCAAAGTCCACCTGACCAGAAATGAGGAGAGATTTATTAATTTCTAATAGAATACCAAAGTCCATCGATTTTTTTTATACAATATTGGGATCTACGACAAATTTCAAGTCTCTAACTCTTGTAGGTGCTGAGATCGGGGCGTTCAAGCATACGGACAAAGGGAGGAACATACAAACTAACAGAACTAAATTGACTCTACCGGGCTTATGAGCTCTGCCCTGCCTCCCTTATAAAACATTTCCGAATTTTCAGGAGAAACTCTTAAGTGACATTCGGCTTACCAGTTTGCAGTAGCCATCGCTGCTGAGCATTAGGTTCTCTGGCTTGAGGTCTCTGTAGATGAAGTTGTGGGAGTGCAGAAAGTCAAAGGCTTCCACAACGCAGCCAGCTATGAATTTGGCAGTCTTATCATCGAAATACTGACGCTTTGACATGACCGTCCAGACGTCGCCGCCCATGCAGGCCTCCATCAGAAAGTACACATACTTCTCGTTACGATAGGTGCGATAGAGTCTAGATGGGACAGAGCGGGTGTTAGAAATGTTAAGTTAATTTAAAGCAGATCCCACTCACTGCACTATGAAGGGCGAAGCGCGACATTTGATCATCACGTTCTTCTCATTGTACACATGCTCGATTTGATCCTGTTTGACGACCTCGATCTTCTTTATGATCTTCAGCGCAAATGTCTGATTGTTGTGGGTGACCAGATCCACCCGGCCGAAGGCACCGGCGCCCAGGGTTGCCACCTTCTTCAGATCCGAAATGGCAATGTGGGCGTGCTCGTTGTCGAACTCGGTGCTGCGAGTGCTCGCACGGCCATTCTCAATGGCCTGCTCCTGCGGCTTCTCGCTCAGCTGCTTGATGGTGCCCAGGTAACTGATGAATGCTCTGAAAAGGGCGTGGGAAATGTTGTCAGGGAGGCTTGCTTGTTGGCAGACTCTCTCCACTCACTCTCTGTCCAGCTTGAGCACTTCAGTGCCCGGCGCATCGGCATAGACACTCGCTTGTCTCACGTCCGCATTCATCAGCGCCTGCTCTCCGAAGTAGTCGCCCCGTTTCCGCTTGGCCACGACCTGCTCCTGCTTGGACTCGTCCCTCTTCTTGATGGTCACCGTGCCGCCGCGTATGATGAAGAACTCATTGCCCACCTCGCCCTCGCGCACAATGCAGCTGCCGGTTTCATAGAATTTCTGCAAGAGAAGCAAATCTCCCCCAAATGAGTATGGACTCAACTATAGCTGAGCTCCTTAGCTCAAGCACTAACCCGCTGCAATAGATCCACAACTTTGTTGAGTACACTCTCGTCGAGCTCCTGCAGGAAAGGCGCTGAGCGCAGGAACTGCAAATTCTCCTCGCGCTCCCGCGAGCCGGAGATTTGCATGATGGCTCGAAATGTCTCGCGCGTTATCTTCCAGACTCGAGCATCGGTGGCAGCTGTTGGAGAGAAGGACCTTAACGTTTTTTCGCCTGGAATCTCTGAATTTACGCTCACCCTTAATGGTGGCCTTGCGTGGCGCGTTATAGAGTATTGCCAGTTCGCCAAAAACCGTGGCTGGGCCGAAATTTCCGACATGTTTGCCCGCCTGTATGACGTCGTAGTAGCCCTCGGCGGAGACAAAGAACTCGGAGCCCTCGTCGTGCTCGTTGATGATGTAACTGTTCTTCTTGTAGCTGGCCGGGGCCATTGCATTGATGACCATGTCCTTGCGCTCCTTGTCCATTAGATTATTGAGGAAATCATTGCGCTCGATGGCCTCCAGTATGAGATTGCGTGTGCTATGGATAATGGCATTGATATATACATATATATATAGATGGGGTTTACCTTGGCCAATAAACCAGAGTTGTTTACTCGACTTACGCTTCGTCCTTTGCATTAAATTCGATTTCAATATTCTGCTGCACGGGCAAATTCGGTCGCACATAGATGAGGCCACCCTCAACGCGATGTGTTTTGGCTGTGGAGCCTCTGCGGCTGCTCTTGCTGCCCGAGTCGCTATCCTTGCGCTGGCCCACTTCATCCTAATTGATGCGGTTGATTACGAGCAGTGGCAGTGGCATCGAAAATAAAATATAAATGAAGCAGACATTCGGTTATTTAGCTGTTTGTTTTCCACCGTCCAATCTCTTAACGTGGTCAACTGAGTTTTCGTGGTTATTTGTTGACAGTTCGAGTGGAGCATCCAGAGATTGGAGCAGAGTAATTTCGCTTGATACATAAACACGGGAAAACTTCATATCTCTCCTGCACTAACAGTTTAATTTCTGTGGGGGCGGGAGAATTTTACGACCGCCCATCATGACGCGAACTGTCACCCATTAAAAATTTAGCTCCATTTACACAGCGGAATTGCAGTCATTTGAAGCATTTGCTGCTGGCAGCCAGAGTCAAGGCTTAATCGCTGCACGTGGGCGGCCCGAAGGATAATTTAGGGCTGGCGGCTTACAAGGCGCAACATCAGCCAAAAAAATCGCCAGTTGCGGGCTGGCGAATTTCGCTGTCTCAGCGGCAGCTTAGCAAATGGAGCAGGATTGGGCTTGGGCTACAGGTAGAAGCACAGGTGGACTCTGGCACAGCAATGGAACGAGAAATGGCAACAGCTGCATTCAGGAAGCGAGCGAGACAGAGAGGTAGAATGAGAGAGAGAAAGAGAGAGAGAGAGAGCTAGGATAGGGAAAGCAACAGTTTTATCTGTTGGCTGCTTTTGTTGGCCAAAAGTTAGAGTTCATGTCTGTTGGCCAACAATTAACATTCCGTTTGTAATTAGTAGCATGTCGAGGAGCCAGCTCTGTCTCCCTCCGGGCACCCCACGATTAGTTGCTACAATAATACACCGACTTTTGCGTAGTGTTGGCTTATGTTTTGTTGCCTCACTACCCCCATTCTACTGTTGTTATAGTTGTGATACAATATATGTATGTTGTGGCAGTGGGAAATATTTAATTAGTAATGGGTACTTAGTTACTGCCACAGCCAGGTTAACAGAGCTGTTGGCCTCGTTTAAAACGGGCTGCACATTCGGGTGGGGCAAGAAACAAGTTTCATTCGGATGCAAAACTTTGTTGAATGTAATTATCCAGATATGCATTTCTAGTGTAGAATGGTGTTGAGAGAAAGGGCCTTATGATAATAATGATGATGATGATGTTTACTGTGAAAGCAGTGTAATTTATATTGCTGAGGCTCATATGATTATATCAAATATATATAATCATATTGATGTACCATCAGAAGTCTTCCGAATGGGGGAGAGAGATAGAGTAAGTGAGGGACAGAGAGTGAGAGAGAGAGGGAGACAGAGACAGAGAGAGAGGAAGAGGAGAGTTAGAGGAAGAGAGAAGAATGGAGAAGGTGAGAGAAAGCGGAAGACAGAGACAAACATAGAGAGAGATAGACAGAGGGAGGGTGAGAGAGAGAGAGAGAAAGAGTGTGTGAGTGAATGCGAAAGAGAGATAAAGAGAGAGCGAGAGACGTTTATTGGACTGAGCCACATAAGTCATATTTGAAACCTTAAAAATATTAAGAAAAGCTTCCCCATGGGCCAGGCTTATAAAGAGACAGAGTGAGACAATATGATTCATTAGAATGTCCAATAATGCAATTTAAGTAGAATTGAAATGATCTCACATAGAATCAAAGGCACTAAAAGACATCGCATGAATGAATAATGCATTATGCTATGGAATACTGTTATTGTGTCCACAATCGAAGAAATAACAGCTCAAATTATTCTTCAAAAATCGTTGGTATATGATTGTCTTAAGTCATTCAGAAAATTGTATAACGAGGACTCGGTCATAAAATTTTTGCTTTATATGCAATACATAAATATAATGATTAGTCACCATCTTTGGTAGCCACACCTACAACTTATAAAATACTTTATCGCGCCCCAGCTCTTATTTGGCTTTATTGAACTCTTCACACAAATGGGATTGCAGGGGTTCGCTACGAGTACCTTGACTACTACTTTAATGCAGCATTCCCCTGGCCTAGAGGCATACTTGACAGGATTGTTAAGGAGACTGAGCTGCTTATTTGACCACTATCTGTGCCCTGCACATATCAGGCCAGCTGCACCACTGATGCGAGCACTCAAAAGAAAAACCACGAAATACCGTTCTATCATGTTTTACCACAGCCCAGATGATTCATTACGTACTTGAGTGACTACACCGTCCGGTACATCGCCTGGCGGCAGTTCCTTGGTGGCAGCCGGAGGTTCGGTGCTTCGCTTCTTGCGCAAATGGAGTGGGGTAACCGGCTTTAGGAGCTCCACTGGCAACGGCGGCGGTGGTGGTATGTTAATGTGCGGCATTGTGGATACACGACGTCGCTGGCCGTTGTTGGCGAACGTTGGCTCGTTGGTGGCTATCGTGCTTTTAGATCTTCTTAGATAATTGAAGGAGACATTTGAGGGCTCTGCCGGTGCGGATGAGGGCTCTACCAGGCGCTGCTGCTGTCGGTCCGTTGGCAATGTGCCGTTAGTGAGCTTGAGCTTGTTGTTGCTGTTGTTGTTGTTGGCATCATTGCTGTGACAGGACAAAGTGTCATCAGTATGCTGTTCGGCATTTAGTACCTGTGTATGACCAATGAAAAATTTAACATTTGCCTTTGTCGGCGTCGCTGGTGTGAATATCGAGGACGTGGCTGTCGATGGGGTTTGCTGTTGGACTGGCTCATTGTGGCCAGCGCTCTCATCAGTTATGCCATTCACACTTCCTTTGAGTTTTGGCTTGCCAGCCACAACATTGCCAGTCAGTGGCAGCGCCAGCTCCTGCTCCTGCCGCTGCTCCTGCTCCTGCTCCTCTCTTGTATGGCTTTCATCAGTGTCACTTTGAACATCATCGCCATCCATATGGGGCGCCTCGGTGGGCAGCGCTGTGGGGCGACGTTCTTTGACGGGTTTTAATTTTGAATTGTTACGTGTGACATTAATTGCACTGCCATTGGCCATAGAGCTCTTCTCCTTGTCCGTCTCCCTCTCCTTGTCCTCGGTTTGAGGTCTGCTCCTGTTCGAGCGAAACTTTTTTGTCTGCTGCTGCTGCTGTGGCTGCTGTTGCTGACTCTCTAGGAGCTCGGTGTTGACCACATTTTCGGCCACAGCTTCGAGCGGCTGGGCGGCGGAGCTGGAGGGCTGTTGTCTTAGGCGCTGCAGTTGCGCCTAATAGGGCCCGGGGGTATAGCCAGGTGTGGACGTACGCCCCAAACATTTACAAAGACAAACACAGGTGCGGAGGTGCATGTAGGTCCGTGAGCATTGTATAAGTTGTTGTTGTTGTTGTTGTGTTGTGTACATATTTACAAGTGTTTCGTGTTTGTTGTTGTTGTTGTTGTAAACATCATTTCGTTTGAAAGTATAAGAAACATGTGTGCAAATATTAATTGAGTTTGCCAAAGGCAAGCATTGAATGGCAGGCAAGACTGTGCTGTATGCCGTATGCCGACGGACCCGTGATTTTTGTGTGCTACGGTAAAGTGCTTTGCAACAGGTCGACTGTATAAATGAGAAATAAAATGTACTCACTTCACTTGTGCTGGGCGTGATGATGGGCGAGTAAAGCGGTTCCTCCTCGCGCCGTACGTAGAGACTAATTTCCTGAAAGTATATAAAAAATTAATAAAAATAATAGTATGTAATATTTACGAAAATAAAATGGAATCAAATATGCTTAAAAATGTGTTAGACATGAAATATCAAAAGTTAAACGATCAGAAAGAGCAGTGAGAATTAAAGATAGTAAAATTTTAATAAATAAAAAAAAGTAGATACAAATATTTCGAATATTAATTAGCATAGTAATGTATAAATTAAAATAAAATTATATAGAAATATTTAAAATGTTAATAACATGCCTAACATAAGCAAATTATTAACAATTTTTGTGATATTTGCTTCACTACACAAATATTTATTATTCAGTTAGAAAATATGATGAAAAAATACAGTAATAAATATAAATAAAATACAGTAATAAATATTAAACAAAAGTATTCTATATAGCACTTAAAATATAATATTTATCATGTAAGATTTTCATTTTAAGCACACATCGAATTACTATAATATTATTAATAATATTAATTTGATATAAATTCTTTAAACTTAAAAAAAAGGGTGTAAAAAATTATAATAAATATGCAAATTAAATAGTGTTAGGAAATATTCTTTTTGTAAAGCGAGGGTATTGCCATTTCTATTTAAAGAATTAAATATTATTTATTCTATGTACACTTCACTTCACTCTAAAGTGCTGCGGCAATCGTTAACAGCGCCATGTTAAGTTAACAGCTGCAGCTGCTGCAGCTATGTGAATGCAAGTTAAACAGAAATTCAGCTCGACTACTTTTATGCATTTGTAAAGAAAATATTGTTTAAGTACTCTAGCTTAAATTACACATAAAATGTTAAGACTGGCAGCTACTAAAGCGTTGCGACAGCCGCTTAAAATTTATGTTCTACTTAATTTAGCTTCCATTCGGTGTGGAGTGCCAAAGCGCGTCAAATGTCAACAGGTCTCGGTTAAAAAGGGAAAAACTACGTACATACATATGTATATATAAAAGATATATATGACAGCGAAGAGAGCAGCAACGGCAACTGCTACTGCAAACAAAACAGCAACAAAACACACAAAAAAAGAAGAAAAAACTATGTGAAAAGCGAACAAAAAACAAAGTTGCAAACAATCTGTGAAAGTAAGCATATAATGCCAGTTGAGTGGGTGTGTGGGTGATTGTGCGGGTGGGTGGTAGTGGGTGTGAGGGGCTGTGCGGCTGTGCGGCTGTATCTGTCCGCTGCTTTGAAATCAATCTGCTGCTGACACAGCTGATAAATACGAAAAGCCATGCAGTTGTATGTCTGCAACAGTTGCCAGTTTATCCCGCCATTGAGCCTCAATAAACAGCAAACAACAACAACAACAGCAACAGCAACAAATGTCCATTGTGATGCCATTTGTATCTCGGTGCCTTATAAATATGTTTCCATATTGTCGCATTTATATCTATGTGTATCTGTGTATGTGTGTGTGTGTGTGTATTGTGTACGCATTAGACTCGAGGCTCTTCATATTGCATGAAAAGTAAAAAGAGCTGTCATTTATCTGAAGCCAACTGAGGCCAGGCCAGGGCAGGGGGCGTTTCCACACTTCTTTTGATTTGATGACAGCTGAGGCTTAAACGGATTGATGAGCTTTTCATGCCAGCCAAAGTCTATACAATTTCATTTTAAATTCGACTTTCATAAGCTAATTGAGTTACCCTGTGCATGAGTGTATCTTACATATACATACGTATCCATATATTGTATGAAGAAATATATTTATATTTTAGCTTCTTTACATTTGATATCTGGCTACCCACTTGACTCACAACATTATCTTCGTTGTTTGTCCGAGTTTATTTGCGCGCACGTTGCTCTAAATAAATAGTAAAGGTTATTCGTATACCTATAGATAGCATAGCTTTATATGTATAAATATAGATATATCATATATAAGTACATATACGTAAACATATATTCATATATTTGTGTATACACACGTAATAAGATGCAAATATATGTATATTCTGAATACGCTTATTTGAATTCCAATTTCCTTCTCATTTAACTATTTATATCAAATTTAATATTTTCTGATATTAACATAATACAAAAGCTTATTTTTACGATTTAAAAATGTTTTGTTTTATTACACATTTTTTATTAAATATGTATTCATTAGTAGTTTAATTTATGTGCATATAAGTTGCTCACAAATTTGAATTAACTATGTTAAAAAGTATTGTTCAAACACTTTTTAACATAGTTAATTCAAATTTGTGAGCAATACAAATATTTAAAATTAATTTTCAATCGAATAACATTTTAGAGTTCAATTAGTCTACAAATTCCCATTTTATATATAAACAAAGTTTTTTTTATTATTAAAAAAATAAGAGTGTGTTTCTGTATTCGTCTTTAATATTTATACTGTATCGCGTTTCATTTGAATTTCTTGCGCGCATTATTTGTGTATTTTATTTTTATTTGTTTATTTCTTCGTTTCTTCGTATGTGCAGTTGATAAAGATAGCATGAATTTTTTATATGAGGTCGCCACAATTCTAATAAAAGTATTGTTTGATGACGACAAAGCTGGTTAAGTGTCTGCTGGAGTAAATTCCAACGTTTTGTTATAGCAAATGAAAACTTGTATTTATTTGCGTTAAAGAAGATTTTTAAAGCAAAAAAAAAAATAAATAAATAAAAAAATAAATAAATAAATAAAATAAAATTATGTATATAAAATAATATATTATTTCTAATAAATATAATCATTTAAATAGTTAAAATAAAATATGTTTATGAGATATACATATACTTATTAAGAACTAAGTAAACTACTCCATAAATACAACAAATTTTAAAATGAAATTTCATTATATAAGATTACAAAAATTTAATACTTTTAAAAATGGATTATTTTTGTATAAAATATATATTTATAAGAATTTTGTTTTGAGTACGCTACAAATTTAATATCTGTTAAATATAGATATATTAATATCAATTTATATGAATTGCTTTCACTTGAAACATTTAATTAATTTGATTAATTATTTAAGTTAATTCCATTTATTTATTTAAGCAATTTTAAATACCTTTCGCATTACAAGATAGAAGTAAATTTCTCTCTTCTAAGCCTTTGCAGCTCAAAGCATTAGCTAATCAGTACAATAAATTTCAATTATTTAATTTAAGAGCATAGATTATGCAATTTAAATGAACTGCCGTAGGTAAGACCAGCGATTATAGACTTATTCCTTGCCAGCTCAGCCTCCGGCTAAACCTGTTCTCAACCTCCTCCGCCCACCTCGGGCGCCAGTGCTGCCTCCGCCGTAAAATGAGAGAGCATCTTATCGCTCAATTGGCAGCCAGGCATGTGGGCAATAAAATATTCAAACCTTTTTTGGGGAGCCTGCAGGCAGCAGTCTAGCTATCGTTGGTGTTGTTGTTGCTGTTGTTGTTGCTGCTGTTTGGCAAAGCCCACAAGCCGCATAAATAAACACATGTCAATATGCAGGTCGCGTGTTTGTCTCCACTTTGATATGCTAATCAGACATAAACGACGACATTTTGACAGGTTTTCCGTTTTCCCATCGGAAACCGCAGTCGAAGAAAATGAAAATCGCTGGAAAATGTTGTCGATAACAGCGTCGCCTCCTGCCTCCTGCCTCATGCCTAAAGCAATTTCTTTGCTCTGCTGCGCTCTGTATGGCAAATCCGATTGTTAATCGTTGCCTACAAAGGGTTTTCGGCGGAGGCTCTCCCAGTCGAAGGTCTATCAAAAAGCTAACAGCAACCAGCAACAACAAATAAGAGAGAATAAACAAAACAAAAAAGTAAAAATACTTTACTTTTATTGTATTTATCGCAACGTTTGAAGATGTCAAACTCAAATGCATTTATGTTCCCTTTGGGTGCTGTTTGCTCAGACGACTTTCACTTTGAACTGCTCGGAATGAGGCCCAGGGCTCGATGGTGCCTGCAATCCTGTCGATCCTTATCACGTTGTCAATCCGACAGCACTCGCAGGCACCGAGCTTGGAATGTTGCCAATGATTGTGTGTGTGGCCGGAATGTACTTGCCTTCGATTTATGCATGAGATTCAGACCACATACATATGTCCCATGCGCTGGCTTATCATATTTTAGCATAGGAAATGTTTGTCAACCTGAGAGATTGATAGAAATTGAACTACGAAATATGTTTGTAAATTTCGATTTGAAAATCCAATTCGAAATTGGAAAATTTTTACTCAAAACATTGACTTGCCAGCCGGGGCTCATATCTTTTTCAATTAAAGACTATCTGGAGCCGTTTTTATAGAAACTTTAAGACCTGGTTATTATCAAAAATCCGAAAAACTAAACTAAAGGTGCTTATATACTTTCGCCTCAGATAGATAACAGTCCAGCAATTGATACACAGAAAAGGGGGCAAAACAACAAAAATTAGTGGCAAATAAACAGATTTCATTGGCAAATAGATAAGAGAACATAATGTATTATGATTTACCGTATTGCCTGGATAGTTATGCCTAATTATAGCAATTTGTATACTCTAGCGATAACGTTTACCTGTGGAGTATGTTATTTAGCATAACTGATCTGTTTAACACAGCCATGTTAATTTACAGGAAATGGGTTTGCCAAAATCTCTTACTAGCATACACCTGTTATGTACTCTTCATAGCTATGCTAAAAATTCTAGCTTAACAGAAGGAGCTCTGCAACACGTCTCTACAATCGGTTACTAACATAAACATGTTATGTTAAGGGCGAGTTTTGTTGATTTCGACTATAACAGAAACATGTTAAGTAAAAGACGACGTAATAATTATGTTATATATGCAGTCAGCTTTGTTAGTGTATTTGTGCTGCAGTGCTTTAATGTTGTTTTTTTTTTGGTTCTGATAAGGTCATTTGAAAAGTGAACGTCACAGTTTTCCGAGTCGCTGATATAGATAACAACACTTTGCGGCACACACGTGTTACGTTTTCTATACAATTTTTTTCTAGTTAGTTTTAGTATTTGGTTAACCGTTAAATGTTTGGTTGTTGTTCTATTCGAGCTACCCCTCTGCCGACTCACTTAATTAAACACTTAATCAACAACTTATCAGCGCTGCCTATTACAGCTACTAAATGTATGAGTGTGTGTTGAGTTTGAGGTCTGCTTCTCTTTCAGCAAGAGCAAGAGCAGCAGCAGCAGCAGAAACTTACCACGGGGCTGCCTTGTGTGTTGAGTATGGTGTCTGTGTTCTCATCTTCAGCCGGCGTAAATTTGTTTTTGCTGCGATGATGGAAGAGACGCGGAAAGCAGGCCATTTTTTGTTGTTGTCGCGGGTTGAGCGGCTGTGTTTGGCCTGGGCTAGGGGTCAGGCTGCGTGGGGAGTTTCACACGTTGGGCGCTACGCTCGTTGAGTCGTTAAATAGTTGCCTTCTAGCACTAAGCTAAGGTGAAGTGCGGTGTGGTGGGGAGAGGTGTGGTGCTGTTTATTTGCTGCCTGCTGCTGTGGTTAGTTGTCAGCTACTACAATATTTTAGCATATTTATCGCAACAGCATTTGTTGCTGTTGCTTTTGCTGTGCTATTATTTGTTATTGTTATTATTGGTGTTATTGCTCTTATTGTTATTGTGATTGGTTGCTGCAAATAACGGTTAGCCGTTCGTTTAACGCCCCTTAAACCGCTTTTTTGATAACTGTGGCCAGAATTGTGATTTATGGCCGCGCTTTTAATTGCCCGCTGTAAATTGGTTGCGTTCGGCTGGAATTGCTGTAACTCGCGATTTTCCGATTGTTTTTTCGCACTCAATTCGAACCGATTTCAATATCTATTGGATTTTAGCGAACACTTGACGCTTTATCAGCCACCCCGACTACACAAATACATATATATCGAGCTATATTTATATTTGTATATGTATGTGATATAAATTTCTTTTTAATTTGATTAGCTTTATGGCGGACTATTTGATTTGCTGAGTTTTTTAGAGGCTAAAATCATTGAATATGCTTTTTTTTATGATTTTTTTTTTTTTTTTTTTTATCGGCCAATGTTGTATTATGTTTAATCAGTTTGTATGGAGCAACTAAACATGATATCAAAGTTTGTTCACGATTAAATACTTTCTAGGTTCTGGCAATACCTATTTAATAATTTGCAAGGCAGCTGATTAATAAAATACATTTGGGGACCTATTATCTATAAAAGTTAATGTTGGCCTTGAATAAAACTTTCGCTATATAAAGCGCAGCAACAGATTATCTGATGATGAGCTCATACAAATATTTTCCACCGTAGGCGTTGGAATTTTTAATAGCTACAATATAAACGTGGTAGAAAAAATCGCAAAATACCCCAACTGTACATATAGAGACCCTAAATAGATAATACATACTATGTAGAGTCTATAATGCTAATAGACTCGAAAGAGCCTGTAGGCCTCTCAAGCCGTCAGTCAGGCCCTATGCACGTTATAGACTTTATAAAGCCTATAAAGAGCATTGATACATTGAATATATATCATATAGAGCCTATAGACACTATATATTCTACATACAGAAAATCTTTGTCTAATAAAATATAAAGACTATTGAAATAGGATATATATATAATATAATATATTATAATAACAAATCTATTCTCCAACTACTATTCAATTAAATTGTGAATATATTATTAAATGAAGCTCTCGAACATGTCAAGGACACTCGTGCGGTTTATCGGGCGCACGCGGCGCTGTCACAAGTAGTGGAAAGCGGAAAATTAGCTTTTCATCAGATATATTTGTGCGCTTTTGAGCAAAAGTTGTAAAGTTCATAAATTTCACGCATCGCCAAATGGATGGGCTAATTAGTCAAGGCCCGAGGCCAAAGCCAAAGGCAACGCCAACGCCAATGCCGATGCGAAAGGTTCCACTACCTAAATTTAACCCTTCGTCCCAGTTCGGCCTGGGGCGCCGATGAGTCAGCATTGAAGTGGGTTTTGGGCTTTATCGTGCATCTCTTATCGCATGGAGTGCTTAATTGTTTTCTATTTATGCGGGGATTTCATTGTTTGGCCAATTGCCTGAGGCCACCAGAGACGCCGTTCTGGCCTTTTGCCTTGTGACCGTGAATCGAACTGGTCTCTATCTAATCAGCTCAAGCGGACCTTTTATTTTTTAGTTTTTTTTTTTTTTTGGGCCAAATGTCAGCCAAGTTTTAACTGATTTCACTCTTACTCTCTCTCTCTCTCTCTCTCTCTCTCTCTCTCCCTCTCTTGCCCTGACAATATCACTCTGCATACATCTTGCTACTTATAGATGATATCGGCCCTTATCAGCAGTTTGTATTACACGACATCTTTGTAGATAACAGCGACCGAACACCGCAATTGCTTATTGCAAATCGAAAAAGAAGTGAAAACTGTTTTCGCTTTGTATTTCACTTTTTTCCCTTGTTTCTTCTTGCTAACAACAACATCAACGACAAGCGACCCATAACAGTCACGAGTCCGTCATTTATATTGTTTTATTGACATTTTTTTCAGTTATCAGCGGAATGTTTTTTCTTTTTTGTTTTTTAATTTACTATTTGTTTTGTTGTTGATTTTCTTTAACTAAAGTTAAAACAACTTTTCACAGATTTTTTAACAGACAAGTCTTTAAAGATATTACCACAATTTATATTATTTTGTATTTATTTTTATATCTATATTTATATATATTTAAAATATAAACTTTATTATTTATACTTGATTCACTTATAGTTTTTCACTATTTTTGATTATTTTTATTGAACTGAACAATTTAAGAAAAACACTTTTTGATTCGTTTCTCGATTTGAGCTGGGCCAACTGAAATTGCTTATAAGAATTAAGCTTATTTCTTGATAGATTAGATATCCGTATCAGGCGCAATGTGATTGATTTGCAGTCGTGTTCCACTCGTTAGGTGAATACACTACTCCATGTACAGCAAAGCATTTGACAGCGCAGATCTCGGTTCGAGCAGCGACTGCAAACCGAGCAGCTTTCTTATCGAATTTGCTCTATAATTTCATGGACATCGATAAGTGCGACAGCGGTTCACAGTCGTTGGGTGTTTTTTTTTTTCTTTTTAGATTTCTTATACATTGGTATATTCTCTGTTTTTATACATTTCATTCACCGTTTAGCAAAGCAGTTGCGGTTCGGACATGCCCGTCGCTCATGAGCTGTTATGCAAGCATTTCCGTCAAGAACTTTTGATTTCTGCGCATATTTCATTGAAATATCGTAATTGAGCACGTTACAATTTCCGCCTCGTTTCGTTCGCGCGAGAAGTCACAATTATGAGCCGTATATGAATAATGCTATATGTGGGAGAGCCGACTGCTCTGTGACTGCGCGATCCGACGCACTCGCTAACCGGGTGGGTACACCTGCCGCCGTGGAGGCTGATAACTCAACTAATTTAACGCGGCCAATTTAAATTGGCAATTCGCTCGACGCGCCGGCAACAACTGCGGCAGCAGCTGAGCAGCAAAAGCAGCGCAGCAACTGCCTGCTGGGCCCCGGGGCTCTTTATCGGTATCTGAGTTTCAGCTTGAAGTGCCCCTGTGCACCCGCCCCCGCTAGCGTCGCTGAACGCCCGCCCCGTTATCGTCGGACAGGTGCAGGGCGGCGCGTCATTGTTTTGACGTCAACTGTTTGCCTTTCATTACATTCCACCATCAATTATGTGGATTTACTTTAAACTGCATCTAATCGGGATTTAACGGATCGCCAAGTGCTGGAAATATAAATGAACAGCTTAGGCCTACTTAGGTCATATGTGCTTGACTGTAACTAAAATTGAAATGCTGTGAATATGCTGTCTGTTGTCTGTTTTTGTATTGTACAATTCGCTATTGAATTGTTTCGATATATCAAAATATAAATAATGAAATGATTGATTGACTTTGCTTCTTGACGGCCTCTTCTCTTTTCTCTCTCTCTCTTTCTCTCACTTGGTCTCAGTCTGCCTCGAATGGCCTTTTCTCTCTTACTCTGCTTGTGTTTCTATCTGTGTAACTTGAAACACACACACACATACACATACTCTCTCTCTCTCTTTCTCAGAATGGAAGAGATTGTTTGTTTCTCACTATCTGCCTCTCTCTCTATCTATGTCTATATGTTTATATTCTTCACGCTCTCTCCGTCTTTCTTTCGCTCTCTTATCCTCTTACCCTCATTCCCTTATTGATACGCTTAGTCTTGCTCTCGCTCTCTCTCTCTGTCTTTCCTTTTCTGCCTCTGCTCCCTCCCGCAAAGGGATAAGCTTTGCTTTCTCACTCTCTCTTTCCCGCTCTCTATATCTCTCTCACTCTTTTCAAGCATGAATTCTAATCTTCTTTTTAAACTAACTAAAATACTAGCTAAAATACACAGTTACACGACCGCTACACACTGCTGCCAAAAAGTATGCAACACTTTATTATTAGTCAGTTGGAGATTAACTATTGAAGAAGCGTTCAAGTAGCATACTTAAGCATCAAGTCTCTCTAATGCTTTAATATATATGTCAAATGCTTGCAGATTAAGCAAAGCTCAAATAAATGTTTGGGCCAAAAACGAGGCAAACTTATCCCGCTCGCAGCTGTTAAGGCAATAACTCTATAAAACCCCCTTGAGAGATATATGTACATACATATATCTATTTATAGCATATGCATGCCTCGGCAAGTAAATTAATTTTTTGCGAGCACAATATTCGCCTGGCAAGCTTCGAAATATTATTCATTATGCCTAAAATGCGTAACTAAAGTAATTTGAAAGTAAAAATCGCGCACTCTCACGCACGCTGCGAGGCAGGCGTTAAGGCTTGAGAGCGAATGCTGAGGGCCGCCCCAAAGACTGGGGAGCCGGGGGCTGTTGAAGGCCTACGACTCGGCGGGTGCTGCTCACATGTGTCAGGCCTGTCATCTAAGGCTTGTCTCTTGGCCCAGACGAAGCTGCAGTGCCTTCGGGCCTCCAAATGTATGCACGTGTTACGACATTGTCATTTGATTAAACTTGTTAGCGCACGCAGCCTAAGCAGCCTCAGCAGCATCAACCGTAGCAGGAGCAGCGGCAACAACAGAGTTTAGGCACCTCTTGGCCAACTTTACCGACTTCTTAAAGTTAAATGCGACGTGAGAAAAATAAATTGGAGAATGCTTCAAGTAGACGAGCGACATTTAGACACAAATTGATAAACAAACGAGAAAGCGTTGAGGCATATTTATTTATTTGATAAACTGAGCAGAACGCGTTTAGGCATATTTATTTACTCTAACCTGTTTTGGCAAATCTGATTTTTATTGTATATTTATTTTAATAGTTTTGAATTGTGAAAAATATTCATATTCGTAAACCTTATTTTTGGGTAATTTTAGCTTTTTTGTGAGATACTTCTTTAGTTTTTAATTAAATCGTAGAACAGCTGGACTATGAATATGACAAGCAAAAACAAGGCAAAATAGTATATTAAATAACTATTTATTATTACTGGAGTACCTCGTATGGTTTCAAAAAGAAAAAAATAATAATTATTATTTTTTTAAGATATTTTGGAATATTTATGTAGCATTTATATATTGAATTTAAAGAAAATTAATGTTGAATGCATGTGAATTTCAAATAGATTTTCTAAATAATTTCATATAAAAATCTAAAGATTTTGAATCTCAATGTAGATAATATAAATTGATAATTCATTAATTAATAATTCTCATAGAGATCGATTCGATGATTAATAATTACTTAATAGTATCACTTTGCTGTTGCTTTCACCTACGTGTGCGTTTCATAATAATAATTATGAATAATTTCATTTCTATAATCAAATAAAAATAAATGTCTGGTTAGTTATCAACAGCCAAGAAAGTGACACAGAAAAAGCTTAAATTTTAATAACAAATATACCAAAGTTTTCTAAAAAATGTTAAGCTTCGTGCTGTCCATCTCTGCCAAACAGCAAATTTTAGTTTCGTACAAATTTAATCTGCTGTGAGACAACAAAGTTATATTCACCTTCTGTGTGGCCCACATATAAAGGCTTTAGACAAACGAGAATTAATAAAGCCAACATGTTGTTTACTAAGAATAAGAGGCTTACAATATACCTTGGACTTTTTTCATATTTCGCATAAATGTTTTCTCTAAATAAATTTACTTGCAATCAAAAATAATTTATTTATTTTTCATATTCTGCTGCTCAAGTATTTATATAGATTTAGTTTACTTATATACATCACTTATTTATCTATAAAACTATGTTGGCTGTAGGCCGCACTACATTTAGTTTTATCGGGCAAACGCCACAGCTTGAGTCTGTCAATAAGTGATGGATCAAAAGCTCACACCTCTGCTGACTCTCCTCTGACTCTTGAGCCACGAGGCATCTGCAGCTGGCATTTTGCTAAATTCAATATAATTTGGTTTTGTTCCTATAATTTCTCTGATAGTTATTCTGGCTTCGGCAAATG